AAGTAAGGACCTCTATGGTGGTAATTTCCATCGCTAGACACCATACTCTCCTAGGTTGTGAAACCAAGGCTATGATCACCAAAATCTATGGAAATCAAGGTAAATGGGGACCAAAACTATGTCTAGAGGGGGGGTTATTAGACTACTTGACCAAATAAAAATCTAGCCTTTTCCCAATTTTAGGTCTTGGCAGATTCTAGCAACTTAGCACTAGTCAAGCAATCAACCTACACATGCAAGTCTAAGAGTATAGCAGCAGAATGTAAAACATTGCACATGAAGGTAAAGGGAGGAGTTTGGAGGAAGCAAACGCAATGTAGACATGGAGATTTTTGGCGTGGTTCCGATAGGTGGTGCTATCGTACATCCACGTTGATGGAGACTTCAACGCACGAAGGGTAACGGTTGCGCGAGTCCACGGAGGGCTCCACCCATGAAGGGTCCACGAAGAAGTAACCTTGTCTATCCCACCATGGCCATCGCCCACGAAGGACTTGCCTCACTAGGGTAGATCTTCACGAAGTAGGTGATCTCCTTACCCGTACAAACTTCTTGGTTCAACTCCACAATCTTGACGGAGGCTCCCAAGTGACACCTAACCAATCTAGGAGACACCACTCTCCAAAAGGTAATAGATGGTGTGTTGATGATGAACTCCTTGCTCTTGTGCTTCAAATGATAGTCTCCCCAACACTCAACTCTCTCCCGTGCGGATTTGGATTTGGTGAAAATATGATTTGAGTGGAAAGCAACTTGGAGAAGGCTAGAGATCAAGATTCATATGGTAGGAATGGAATATCTTGACCTCAACACATGAGTAGGTGGTTCTCTCTCAAAAAAATGTATGATGGAAGTGTAGGCATGTTCTGATGGCTCTCCTCACGAATAAAGAGTGGGTGGAGGGGTATTTATAGCCTCCACACAAAATCTAACCATTACACACAAATCACCAAACTCGGTGGGACCGAATAATGAAACTTGGTTGGACCGATTTAGTTCAAAATGTGAATGTTAGGATTTTCGGTGGGACCGGCATGTCAACTCGGTGAGACCGATTTCATCAGGGTTAGGGCATAACGTAATCTCGGTGAGACCGATTACACAGACTCAATGAGACCGACTTTGGTAATAAGCTAACCAGAGAGTTGGTCAGGCAAACTTGGTGGGACCGATTTGCTCATCTCGGTGAGACCAAAACATTACAAAGCGGAAACCGAGAGTTTGCATTGCGAACTCGGTGGGACCGATCGCTCATTTCGGTTGGACAAAAATGTTACAAAGGGGAACAAAGAGTTTACAATCCCATCTCGGTGAGACCGAAAAGACTAGGGTTTCATGGCAGTGGCTATGTCAACTGAACTCGGTGGCGCCGGATACAAAGTTTCAGTGGGGCCGAGTTTGACTTTTGGTTTGGGACATATGTGGATATGAGAAAGTGGTTGAGGGTTTTGGAGCATATCACTAAGCATTTTGAGCAAGTAACCCATTAAGAAACACCTCATCCGCTTTTAATAGTATTGGTTTTTCCTATGGACTCAATGTGATCTTGGATCACTAAAAGGTAAAATGTAGAGTCTTGAGCTTTAGAGCTTGAGCCAATCTTTTGTCCTTAGCATTTTGAGGGGTCCACATTTCTAATCCATGCCATGCCAATCATTGAGCTTTCCTGAAATATTTATCTTGAAATAGTATTAGCTGAATGAGCTATAGGTTGTTAGGAATTACCAAAACCACCCAGGGATAGTTGCACTTTCACGTCCGACTACATCAACTGCGTTGTCATAACGCCTTCGCTTACGGTCTACGAGGGTACGTGGACAACACTCTTCCCTCTCGTTGCTATGCATCACCATGATAGATCTTGCATATGTGTAGGATTTTTTTTTTGAAATTACTGCGTTCCCCAACAGGTGCAGTGCAGGTTGTTCCATGTTGGAACATGGATATGTTAAGATATCACAATATATTTTATTTAATTAATGCATCTATATACTTGGTAAAGGGTGGAAGGCTTGGCCTTTTGCTTGGTGTTTTGTTCCACTCTTGCCGCCTTAGTTTCCATCATACCGGTGTTATGTTCCTTGAATTTTGCGTTCCTAACACGATCAGGGTGTTATGAGGCCCCCTTGTATGTTCTCCTAAAGTAAAGCTTTCCCGAGGAGATCCAACATTGGTTTTACCATTTGCCTAATAACAACTAAAATTGTGCATAGGGAGTAATTAACCCGTGGACTCTTAATCAACCCTCGGTCCAGTGCTCGACATGAGTGTTGGTCCACCTAACTAGCAGTCGGCGGTGCCGCTCTTTGGCTATCGTCCACTTCGCATAGACGGATGAGTCCGTAGATAGAGAGCGCACGGCTCTAGACATGGATCTGACTCACTGGGAGATCTCCTTGGGTGTAACATCTACAATGCGGCTATATCTCCCACGTGTCGGAGAACGACTTAAAGGCATAGTCGCATGGTAGGCTTGTCGCAAGAGGGGTAATCTTCTCACATGTCATGTACTGAATAAGAAAGGGATAAAGAGTTGGCTTACAATCGCGACTTCACACAATACATAAATAATTCATACATCATCCAAAGTACAATCAAAGGTCCGACTACGGAACCAAAATAAAGGAAGACAACCCCAAATGCTAGATCCCCGATCATCCCAAAAGGGCTCCACTACTAATCAAAAGGAAACAAAACAAAACAATGACCAAGATCTTCATCGAGCTCCCGCTTGAGCTCGGTTGCGTCACCTGCACTGGTATCATCGGCACCTGCAACTATTTGGAAGTATCTGTGAGTCACGAGGACTCGGCAATCTCACACCTGCGAGATCAAGACTATTTAATATTATGGGTAGGATAAGGTAGTGAGGTGGAGCTGCAGCAAGCACTAAGCATATATAGTGACTAACATACGCAAATAAGAGCGAGAAGAGAAGCAATGCAACAGTCATGAAGTTAGAAATGATTAAGAAGTGATCCTGAAACTACTTATGTTCAAGCATAACACAAGACTGTGTTCACTTTCCGGACTACGCCGAAAGGAGACCATCATGGCTACACACGCGGTTGATTCATTTTAATTAAGTCAAGTATCAAGTTCTCTACAACCGGACATTAACAAATTCCCATCTGCCACATAACCACGGGCACGGCTTTCGAAAGTTTAAACCCTGCAGGGGTGTCCCAACTTAACCCATCACAAGCTCTCATGGTCAACGGAGGATATTCCTTCTCCCAGGAAGACCCGATCAGTCTCGGAATCCCGGTTATAAGACATTTCGACAATGGTAAAACAAGACCAGCAAAGCCGCCCGAATGTGCCGACAAATCCCGATAGGAGCTGCACATATCTTATTCTCAGGGCACACAGGATTGCCCAAACTTCCGGTAGGCCAGCCCAGAGTTGCCCCTGGTAGCCACCGGCGGTTGACAGGTTGGACCAACACTCAAAGGAGCACTGGACCGGGGGTTTAGAATAAAGATGACCCTTGAGTCTGCAGAACCCAAGGGAAAAAGGCTTAGGTGGCAAATGTTAAAACCAAGGTTGGGCCTTGCTGGAGGAGTTTTATTCAAGGCGAACTATCAAGGGGTTGCCATAACACCCAACCGCATAAGGAACGCAAAATCAAGGAACATAACACCGGTATGACGGAAAACTAGGGGCCGCAAGAGTGGAACAAAACACCAAGCATACGGCCGAGCCTTCCACCCTTTACCAAGTATATAGATGCATTAATTAAATAAGAGGTAATATGATATCCCAACAATATCCATGTTCCAACATGGAACAAACTTCATCTTCACCTGCAACTAACAACACTATAAGAGGGGCTGAGCAAAAGCGGTAACATAGCCAAACAATGGTTTGCTAGGAAGGTGGGTTAGAGGCTTGACATGGCAATATGGGAAGCATGATATAACAAGTGGTAGGTAGCGTGACATAGCGATAGAGCAAACAACTAGCAAGCAAAGATAGAAGTGATTTCGAGGGTATGGTCATCTTGCCTGAGATCCCGCAAGGAAGAAGAACGAGTCCATGAAGAAGACAAACGGACGTAGTCGAACGAATCCTCACAACTCTGGAACGAAACTAAAGCTAATGAGAGAAGCAAAACGAAAAGAAGCAATCAACATAGTAAACCAACAAGCATAAACATGGCATGATGCACAAACAAGTATGATGCATGTCCGGTTTAAAGAGGCATGGCATGGCAAAGTGCACAAACAATACTACAAATTAAGTGGAGCTCAATATGCAACGAGTTGCATATTGACGAAACACCACATACATTTGTTTAGTTCTCTCTCGTTAGGTACTCAACAATATTAAATGTTGTTTAAACATGGCAAGAGGGTGAAGCATGAGTAAAAGAACACTGTTAGGCATTTTAAATGAGGCCAGAAATATCAAACAACAATTCCGGTAAATCCCCATGTGCATTTAGCAATTTAATGCAAACAACAATTTAAAACATTCTTGGTGTTATTATCATGATGCGGGTGACATGTGAAAGTTATGCAAATTTATGAAAAGGTTGACATGAACATGATATGAAGCATTTATCATCATGGCGGAAACGAAAGGGGTGCCACGGCAACGACAACGGAAATGGTGCCATGGCAACATTCCGGTTCTGGTAACTCGATTGAGATGCCGGTGCAAAAGAAAGTGTGACAGGAGCGTGTCATGCGATGAACGGTGGGGTGATCTCGGATTCCGGGTTCCCACGAGTCGATGGCATGGAAGCGAGAGACACTACAGACACGATGCAGACAAAGGGTGCATCTCATACAACACAAGCAATCGTTCTCGGACTGTCATCTCGGGGTTATACCTTCGAAGCGTGTGTTTTCGAAGCGTATCGAGTTCATCGAGGGAAGTAGTCGTTCACGGGTCATTGTGGGAAGTAGTCGTTCTCGTGGCGACGGTAGTCATTCATGTTCATAGTTGTACACACTCCGTATGTGTTCAGGGTCACAACAAGGAACTTGACGTCCATGGGGTCTTCGAGGGTCGACGGTAGTGGTACTCGGTCGTTTCGAAGAGATACTTGGGGTCTTCAAACTTGCCGGTCTCGTCAGCTCGAAGGGGTACTTGGCATTTCTACTACCCGGGTCGTCGGCGATGGTAGTTGTTCTATGCATCGGGCATCAAGGTACTTGTCGTTCTTAGCAATTTCGAAGACGACGGTAGTGGTACACGTTACGTAGATGTTCAGGTTGTCAGTAGAGGTACTTCCTAACATCCACGGGATCAGTAGTTGTACATGGTCTTCACGTTGTTTGACTTGGCAATTCCAAAACGTTCATCGGAGCGGGAACTTGGCCAAAACCCCCGAAGGCGCTACTCGTTCGTTTGATAGGGGAAAACAGCGGCAGCAGCAGGCATCGCAGTCAACGGGCGCGGTCGCCTGCAGACGACGGGGATGGCCGGAGATGCAGCAGCAGAAGCAAAACAGCAGCAGCAGCGAAGAAGCCGGCGGCGACTGGAGCAGATCGGGCGCGGGGAAGGGGCGGCGCCATGGACGGACTCCTCGGGTGGCTGAAGGCACCAGCGAGCACGGGGCGATGCACGGAGCAGCAACAGGTCCAGGAACTTGACAGCGCGTGAGGGAGAGGGCGAGGCCGGCGCTGGTCGACGCTGCGACGCAGCTCGACAGCGGCAAGGCGAGGGGCGACCAACGGGGCTCCGACCTGGCTTGCTTCTCCGGCGAGGGCGGTGATGGAGGAGTTCAGACGACGAGGCCAGATCGGCCGGTGAGGCGCCATGGGATGTCGAGGTGGCGGAGGTCGCGGGATCGGGCGTCGGGCTTGAGGTGCAGGAGGAGCCCAGGTGGTGGCAAGGATGGCCGGCGGCGAGGCGGCAGCAGAGGCGCGACGAGGTGCAGGTGGGAGAGGCGCTCGGCGGGTCAAGGTAGTGGTCGCCGACGGCGGCAGGATGGCGTGGGGCTGCAAGGGCATGGGGAGGCAGCGGCGGCTGCGCTATGCAGCGGAGCGAGGCACGGGCTCCTGGCGTGATGTCGTCGGTAGAAGGACGAGGGAAGGAAAGGCGGCGAGCGGGAGGGAGAGATCAAGGGAGATGGGGATCAGGGTGGTTGAGGCTAGGGTTCGGGAGCCCGACTGGGCCTAGAGGGCTAGGGAGGCCGGCTGCCGGGCCTTGGGCCAATTAGGTGGGGAGGGGAAAAAGGCCAGGAGGCCTGCTCGGCTGAACTCCTCTCTCTCTTAAGTCTTTTTAAAAAACCTTTTTAGAAATCAAAAAACCGCAAAGAAAGAAAGAAGAGAAAAGAAAGGATTAGAGGAAGGATTTGGGCACGCGGATTATTTTCCCGGACTCACTAAAATGTGCTTGCTCCGAGAAAATAGGAATGGCCAGTATTACAAAGTTTAAATTCAAACTCATTTGAATTTAATCGAATGGTTTGAATTAGGACTAGGGTTTTGAAGTGCCAAAAATGATGAGGATTTTTGGAGGAACCTCGATAAAAGTGATAAGAATTGTGGACAAGATTTGAAGGTCAAACTCGAAGTGGAATAGGCATGGGAATTGTTTTTGCATGTGTGTTATGGTTAATTCCAAAAGAATGCAATATTTATAATAGCTCCATAATTATTAGGAGGCTATGTTATAAAGAGAATCACCATGTGAATTCCCTCGGTTTAAATGGACCGAAGATCCATGCAATTTATTTAGTTGAGTTTTTGTTAGTTTGAGAAAATGATGGTATGAAGACATGATGCAATGCAAATGATGCAAAGATGAATGCAACGAACCAAACAAAACACATGACGAAACTCGGAATCCCTGGAAGGCATCTGGAGCGCCGGTCTTGGGGCGTCACATTGGGATAGTTTTCCTTTCTTCGAAGAGCTTGTGCACCAGGATTCCAAGAATACTCGGGGTGTCCCGCGATGGAGGATTGTCTCCGCCGATCGTGAGCTTGTCATGGGCTAAGTTGGGACACCCCTGCAGGGTTTTAAACTTTCGAGAGTCGTGCCCGTGGTTATGTGGCAGATGGGAATTTGCTAATATCCGATTGTAGAAAACTTGACACTTGACTTAATTAAAAGACACCAACCGTGTGTGTAATCGTGATGGTCTCTTTCCAATGAGGTTCGGGAAGTGAACACGGTGGGGTTATGTATGAACGTAAGTAGTTCAAGATCACTTCTTGATCACTTCTAGTTTCGTGACCGTTGAGTAGTTTCTCTTCTTACTCTTGTACTCGTATGTTAGCCACCATATTCGCTTAGCGCTTGCTGCATCTCCACTTCATAAACACATCCTACCCATAAGCTTAAATAGTCTTGATCTCGCGGGTTTCGAGATTGCTGAGTCCTCGTGACTCACAGATACTATCAAAATAGTTGCAAGTGCCGATGATACCAGTGCAGGTGATGCTACCGAACTCAAGTGGAAGTTCGACGAGGACCTTGGTCATTACTATGTTTCGTTTCCTGATGATCAGTAGTGGCACCCAGTTGGGACTATCGGGGATCTAGCATTTGGGGTTATCTTCTTTTCATTTGGATTTGTTTGTAGTCGGACTATGTGTGTACTCTGAATGATGTATGAATTATTTGATCATTGTGTGACGTGGCGATTGTAAGCCAACTATTTATCCCTTCCTTATTCATTACATGGGGTTGTGTGAAGATGACCCTTCTTGCGACAAAACCAAAATGCAGTTATGCTTCTAAGTCATGTCCCGACACGTGGGAGATATAGCCGCATTTTGGGCGTTACTCTGAGTCTCAGTCGATAAGACATAATCAAGTCTCAATCGAGTGACATAACATGTAAGAAAGATTAAAAAACTATTTTTTGCACGAATCCCGTTGTAAATTTTCACCTTGAAAATGATACAACTACTATTCAAGGCATGCAGCAGGACCATTCATCCAAAAGGAAAAGGTATGCGGCAGGAAACTATTTTTCATCTTGCATGGTGGTCTGATATTGGTTTTTGGCTCTTTGAATAACATGTAGTAGTATGTCAACATAACAAACGTTATTGCTTTCATGATCCACAATTTAAAGTTGAAAGTGCGTTATATCGACTAGAGGGGGGGTGAATAGGCAATTTTTATGAAAGTCTTCAAAACGTGGGAGTTATGAAGACAAACAGCGAAGATTTTGCCTATTACTATGCAGTGGAAGTTAGATTACACTAGGCAAGCCATGGTCAAGTATTCAATAGAGTGAAAGCACAAAGACAAACAGCTTCAGTGTAATAAGGATCAGGTAGGAAGAGGTTATGAAGCCAAACAGATCATACATTCACATTGTGAAGACAAAAGATAGAGCAAGCATGCAATGGCTTCACAATGAGTAACAGTAAGAAAAAGGAAGTGAAGATGAAACCGGTGACTCGTTGAAGACAATGATGTGTTGGACCAGTTCCAGTTGCTGTGACAACTGTACGTCTGGTTGGAGGGCTAGGTATTTAAACCTTAGGACACACAGTCCCGGACACCCAGTCCTGAACACGCAGCTCAGGACACCAAGTCCTCACCGTATTCTCCTTGAGCTAAGGTCACATAGTCCTCGCCCAATCACTCTGGTAAGTCTTCAAGGTAGACTCCCAAACCTTCACAGACTTCGTTCACTGGCAATCCACAATGTCTCTTGGATGCTTTGAACGCGACGCCTAACTGTCTGGAGGATTCACAGTCCTCAAGTATAATAAGTCTTCAGATCACACAGACAAGAAGACTTAAGTGATGCCCAATGTTCTCTGGCTCTGGGTGGTTAGGGCTTTTCTCCTCGCTAGGAATTTTCTCCCAATGGCTTCGAGGTGGGTTGCTCTCAAACGACAAAAGCCGTGCACTGAAATCTGAGCAGCCAACCGTTTATGGTTGTAGGGGGTGGGCTATTTATAGCCACTTGGCAACCCGACCTGATTTGTCCGAAATGACCCTGGGTCACTAAGGAACTGACACGTGTCTCAACGGTCAGATTTCAAACTCTCATGGCAACTTTACTTGGGCTACAAGCAAAGCTGACTTGTCCGGCTCTGGACAAGATTCACTCTCATTGTCTTCACTCGAAGGCATAGGTTTTTTGGTTTAGGCATCACTTCAGTCATTCTGACTGGTTCTCCTGGACCCCACTTAACAGTACGGTGGTTCCTATGACTCAACACAAAAGAAAAAGAACTACGAAAGATTTAAGTCTTCGAGCTCCATAGGCTTCATAACGTGTCTTCTTTTATCATAGTCTTCAATGTGAATATCTTCATATGCCACCTTTGGCTTCAATGTCTTCATACATTTTTAGGGGTCATCTCTGGTAGTAAAACCGAATCAATGAGGGACTTCTACCTGTGTTATCCTGCAATTCTCACAAACACATTAGTCCCTCAACTAGGTTTGTCGTCAATACTCCAAAACTAACTACGGGTGGCACTAGATGCACTTACAATCTCCCCCTTTTTGGTGATTGATGACAAACTAGTTGAAGTTTTCAACGGGGAATATAGTCTGTGAAATTGTAAAGGATAAGGAATTATCTTCATAAGTTTCAAGGGCTCCCCCTGAAGATGTGCATATAAGTTAATTTGCTTTTGGAATGCAAATGCACATGGCAGGTTGTACTTGTGGAGATCCAATTCAGCTTATGATGACAATCCACTATGCATGTGAAAGTATATGAAGATAATGACATGCATAATGGAAAATGGACGTCTGCAGAATGAGATAAGTGCGGAATTTATCATCGCACATGCGGAATTTATCTTCGCAAACAGGGTGGCAAACAAGTAGCAGACAACCATCGAGTTTTAGTGTTACAACTCAAAGAACCAAATGAAGCAAAAACGAGAGTTGTAAGCACGAAGCAAAATATAGCAAAACATAAAGCACCCGCCCATATGGACCCGCTTGAAGACTATCAACCCATATGCTTCTCCCCCTTTTGTCAGCAAGGACCAAAAAGGTTTGAAGACATAGAGTGTCTACTCGTTCCCAGGAGCAGCAGGGTCGTTGGAGGTGTTTGGCGGTGCGGAAGAGCTTGGAGGTGCTGAAGCAGGTGGCGGTGATGTAGCATCGTCTTCTTCATCAATGATTCTGGCAGTGACTGTGGCAGCAGATGAAGAAAACTCAGAGTCTTAAAGTGATGGTGTGTTGCGCATCACAGCCCTTCTAGGAGATGTGGTGTCAAACTTGAATCGCTCAGTGAAGCCATCCTCTTCAAGTTCAGCTTCAGTACACATCATTGATAGCCCTTTCCATGTACGACGACAGGTTTCATGAGTGACGAAAGCATTCTTGGTGGCAAGATTTCGAAGACGATTAACATCCACCAAGAGGCTTTTCATCTGACGCTTTAGCCAGTCATGATGCCTATCTTGTTTTTGATGAAGGGCCACAAGAAGCTCTCGGTTATTGAGAACACGAGCGCGCTTCTTGGGTCTGGAAGCAGTTGCACTATCAGTGGCTTCAGTTGAAGCAGGGTGTGGCGCACGTGTAGTGCCAGCCAAAGGATACACCCTGGAGATGGCTTCAACACCTTCATCGTTTTGAGTGAAGCTTTGGTGTTCTGCATTTTGAAGACTCAAAGGTTGCTTGGCAGGCTCAGGATATATAGCTTCAGCAGAGGTATC